CCCTCCCTCCCTCCCTCCCTTCCTTCCTTCCTTCCTTCCTTCCTTCCTTCCTTCCTCCACATATCCCATTTGTTCCTACTTTGGCAATGCAGGGGGTCTATCCTGTCTTCCTAGGCCGAAAGCCTTTACATCCTAAAGTGAGTCTGTAGAAGGCAGAAATGGTGAAGCTTTCTGAGGTCTCAAGATCAAGTTTCATTCCTAACTACCAGCATCTTTTCATGACATCAAGTCCTTGTTCTATTAAAACAAAAGACAGTCATTATGTTTTCACTGTGGTACACCAACCCAAAGTTGCATCAGCACTAATATCATAATCAACTATTCTCCAGAAATAAACAGCTGCTTCTGCTTACTTCAGAGTTATTCTGGGTGTAAAACTATCCTGGGAAGTTGCATAGGAACAATAGATTTGTGGTTAAATGTGTGAAACAAGAATCTTGGTGGGTTCCTTGTCCCCTCAGTTCAGACGGGCTTGCGTTCCCCTTTGCAATTGATAGCCATTGTGGTTAGGGGTTTCAGTGCTATTCCAGTAATTTTCGATCTCATTCCTTCTCGTTTCTCTCAAGTAGCTTTAAAAAAAAACACTGTTTATTCGGGCCAAGTATTTTGTCTCTTTTTGAAGGACAGCAGCACACGTAGTTTCCACCCCCCAAAAAGTAAAAGGCAGATGGATTAATTGTCCTCGACTTACAACCATTTGTTTAGTGACCGTTTGAAGTTACAATGGCACTGAAAAAAGTGACCTATGGCTGTTTTTCACACTTATGACCATTGCAGCATCCCCATGGTCACGTGACCTAAGCTCAGTCACTTGGCAGCTGCCCTGTATTTATGACGGTTTGCAAGTGTCCTGGGGTCATGTCATCCCCTTTCTGACAAGACCAATGGGGAAGCCATTTAGCCACCATGTTACTAACTGAAACAACTGTGGTGGTTCAGTTAAAACAGTGGCAAGAAAGGTTGTTAAATGCGACACTTAACGACTCCCTTGCTTAGCAGCAGAAATTTTCGGCTCATTGTTGTGAGTGGGGACTACTTCTATGCGTTAGTTTCCAGCCTTGTGCCTCCATCCCAAAATCACTTTCTGCATTTACTCAGCAGATTCGTTTCCCCTCCGTAGGGGAGAAATTAATTTCTCTGACAAAAGGCAGAGGATAAAGCTTTATTTATGATGACTGTCTGCACTTCCACAGATCCAAATGGGAATTTAGCCCAGTTTTCTTTTCTATAATGTGCGCACACACACACACACACACACACACGTTTTGGTCCAGCTGCCTGTTTATGAGCAAATTTTTCCATAAACCTATAAAACCTTTACATTGTACAGAAACCTAAGAAAACTTTAAGACGTTTCCAGCCTCCGGGGGCAAAGAACATAATGTTCTTGGAACATTTGGTTGAAATTTTTACTGCAAGGCTCATTGGTGTCTGGCAGAAGCTCCGATGACATCATGGCATAATGATGTCATCACACAAGTGATGTCATGATACAGACAGCATCACCCATACCCACGGCCCTTGTGGAAATTCTGCTAATGGAATAGAATCCTGCTGCAATTAAGGGAGTAGCCCGCTTAGGTTAGTAGGCCTCCCATATTGCTCCTAGCTTTAGATTTCAGCAGAAGAAAACATCTGGAGATTTTAGAGCAAGGGGTCTTCAAACTTGACAGCTTTAAGACTTATGGACTTCAACTCCCAGAATTCCTCCTCCAGTCATATTAGCTCAGGAATTCTGGGAGCTGAAGTCCACAAGTCTTAAACTTGCTTTAGAGCAAGGGTGGGCAGTTAATTTTCCCAAGGGGCCGCATCAGAAACTGGAACTGTTATGGAGGGCCAGACCAATAGAGCTGTGAAGCAGTGGTGAAATGTTCCTGGTTCAGCTCGGTTCAGCTGAACCGGTGAAAGAAGAGAAAAGTGCAGGATTGGCCCTCCCACCCGCCCTGAGCTTTTCTGTTCCTTATCCTCTCACCTGATTGGCGTGGCAGAGCCTCAACTGGGGTTTGGAAAGCTGCATGGGCATGCACAAAGTGCCCAGTCACCGAACCAGTAGGGAAACTGGTAGAATCCCGCCACTGCTGTGAAAGTGCCAAGGGATGCATGCACGCACATACATAAATTGAAAAAAATATTAGCACTGCCCTTCAAAGTGAAAATGCAGAGCTGGACATGGATGGCCAAAGGGCCAGTTGTGGCCCCAGTCTGTTTTAGAGCAATGTTTTTTCAACCTAGTTGAAAGCTTTTCAACTTTAAAATGCAGAGACTTCAATTTTTCAAGCCTTCTGCTGTTCTTTGCTGTGAAGTTGTATTATTCGGGCTCATCAACATTGAAATTCTTATTTGCCTTCTGAGTCCAGTTCTACTCCAACTCTTCCTTCTGCTTTATAAGTCACATCATCTCGTTTCTTTCAGGCTGGGAAAGCAGTCATGTCGGTTGATCCAATCCCAACATCAACCCTGCAAGGCGGGAGCGACAAGGAGCATCTCTATAGGTAAACAGCAGGGCAGGGCTGTCAAACTCATGTCGTCATGGCTGCGTCACGTGATGTACGGGGACTTTGCTAAACTGGGTGTGGATGTGGCCAGCACGTGACGCATCTGGCCTATCGGCTAGGAGTTCGACACCCCTGCCATAGGGCATTCTGCGAATAGAGGTGTGCTGGTGCGTTTCTTTAACATGCGAAGTCACTATTCTTTTCATTTTATTTTGCTTAACCATTGCAGGAGGGGGGGAAAAAAGACCCTGAAATATAAAAGGACAGAAATAATTGGATCAAACAGGCCTTGAGTAATCCCTGGGAATTCTAAGCAGACTTGATAGACTCCGGATGGAAGACCACTATGAGAGCTCAACACCAAGCTAGATATAGAAGTAGAAAAGCCTTTTTAAAAGAAAAACCAGACTATTTCTATGCTGTTGCCAAGGTCCCCAGGATTCAAGCTTGTTACAAGGGGGTGCTTTATTTTCTATGCAGAGGAGGACCATTTGGTGAAGAGTAGGGAGTGAAAGGAGTAGAGAGGGACAGAAACCTCCACGGGGAGGAAAAGACATGATATGATGATGATATGGGCTGGGAAAGAGCCAGATGTTGGAAGTCACTCCAGTGCTCTGAAGGGCTGGTCTGCTTACATCAAGAAAGGCAGGCCCTGCTGTTTCTGTTGTCCCTGACGGAAACAGAGTGAGCAGCTGCTGCTTCTGCTATCAGGGCAGAACTGTTAGGTGGCAGAGCCACAGCTGGAAACATTCCTCTACCCTCTTAGCAAGGCAGAAGCTTCATATGCAACACCCTGGAGGAGAGGGTGCAGTTACCCCCTGGGCTAGCCTTTAAGCTGGCAGGGTATGGGGGCAGCGAACGTTGATCAGGGGACGGAGAGAGAAGGGGGGGGAGAGAGAGGAGCCTGGAGGCATTTGGCCTCCCTGGGAGCTTTGCCCAGATCCTCTGGCCTCGGTCCAGGGCTTCCATTAAGCGAAGGGGTCCTATAAATAGCTGCCACCCTTTCCTCTCCATCTTCCCCGAAGAGGCAGGCACCGCATCGCTCTCTTCAAGGTGCAGTGTGAATTTCAGACTCCCCTCCCTCCTCCTCCTCCTCCTCCTCCTCCTCCTCCTCCCCGCCTTCTTGGGGGGGCTGCCCCCCCCCCCACGAGCCCTCTTCAGCCACTCACCCTCGCCTCCTTTGCTTCCCACCTCAGCACGGTCTGCAAGCCCCTCTCGCCCAAGGCGAAGGAAGCTGTCCCTCCGCCCTTCTCCTCCTCCAGCGGGGTGCTCGGAGCTGGGCTTTGCGAACTGGATCGGCTTCTCCAAGAACTCAACGCAACCCAGTTCAACATCACCGGTACGTACGTACGTGTGTGTGTGTGTGTAGGGGGGGCTGTAGTGCTTTGGATGGCTTTCCACATGCAGAAACGCTGGGCCTTGGAGTAGTTGTTTTGTGATGTACACATACTTTACATTTCTTCTGGCACGTAGAATCCACTAGCGTAGACGGCTTTGGAAACAAAATTGCTCCGGTTATAGAGGGGGTAGGCCGCTAGCTTTTAAAATAGAACCTCCATGGACAGAGGCATTTTACCTCAGAGGATTAGATGAAGTTGCGAGCCAGCTTCAAGGGGCACTTTTTGGTGCTGCCAACCTCCTTGGCAGGATTGTCCTTCGCGTGAATGGAAGTGGCATCAAACTAGACTCTGAAGCATCACACCAAGCCGGAATGTCTATTGTTTTTGGCTTGGTGTGATGCGTGAACCCAACCATTGTCATTTGTTAACCGTGATTTATGGCTCGGCATAATGTGTGTGAACCCAGCCAACCCAGTGGTGGTTTTTCAGTAAACCATCGCTAAACTAATCATGACTTTGAGTGCCAATGTTTGCTGTTGTCCAGAAGAGTGATTCTAAAAGGATGAAATCATACATTACATCCCTCTCTTGCCTAGACCGGGTGTCCTCTGGGTGTGCTGGACCAGGGGTCGCCAACCTTTTGGACCTCGGGGACCACCAAACTCATAATTTTAAATCCCACGGACCACTAATATGAATTTTGACTGACGGCTGCTTGCTGACGTTGGTGGGAAAGTTGGTCCCCTATTCCAAAGCTGCAGTAGTCACAGGACTGGTCCTTTGGTCACCCCGGAGCAGCTGCTCCTCCACCCGGGTGCACCAGCCTGCCATGGACTGTAGGAGCTGCTCCGGGATGACCAAAGGGCCCGTCCTGTGACTACTGCAGCTCTGGAATAGGGGACCGACTTTCCCACCAACAAGCCACCCCGGGCTGGATTTCCCTCCCCCGCCATTGGTCTTACCTCCAGTTCCAGCTCATGTGGCTCTACTCAAGGTTTGTGTTCGGCCAAAGGATGGGGCCAGCAGGTGGGTGAGCCATGTGGACGACACAGCCTTGTGTTCCCGTGCAGCCTGGATTAATTCTTTTAGGGGGGGGGGGGGGGGTTGGGGGGGGGACATTTCTCTGCGGACCACCAAAATTTTCTCACCAGTGGTCCCCGGCCCCACCAGTTGGCGACCACTGTACTGGACTACAACCCTCATAATTTCTAGCTGGCCTAGGACCAAAATGGGCCATGAGTTGTAGGAGACGTGGTCCAATACATCTGGAGAACATCTGGGGGGAGATAAGCAACCTCTGAGGCTGCTCCAGATCCTGAAACTGAGGCTGGACTAGCTAGCTGTGACACAAGAGAATTTCAGAATGAGGTTCTCTCCTTGGTCTTTAGGTTATCTTCTGGTTTGGCACCCCTTGTCTCCCTATTACCAGTAGTCCTCGACTTAACAATAGTTCGTTTAGTGACCATTCAAAGTTACAACGGCACTGAAAAATGTGACTTACGACCATTTTTCATGGTTACAACCTCTTCACCAACCCCATGGTCATGTGATCAGAACTCACTTAACAAACGTCTCACTTAACAACAGAAATTTTGGACTCCATTGTGGTTGTAAATAGAGGACAACCTGAGTTCTTAATTTAGCTGTTATAGGTGGTCCTTGGCTTACGAACACAACTGAGCCCAAAGTTTCTTTGGCTAAGCGAGACATTTGTGAAGCGAGTTTTGCTTCGTTTACTTTTTCTTGCCGCAGTTGTTAAGCGGATTGCTTGCAGTTGATAAGTTGGTAACCTGGATGTTAAGTGAATCGTGACTCCCCCGTTGACTTGGCTTGTCAGAAGGTCACAAAAGGGGATCACAGGACCCCGGGACACGGCAACCAATGGTCATGAATCATATGAATTTTGGTCATAGGATCATGGGATATACTGCAAAGATAACTCGATAACTGTGAAAAATGGTCACAAGTCACATTTTTCAGTGCTGTTGTAACTTCAAACAGTCACTAAATAAATTGTTGTAAGTCGAGGACTACCCGGAGTTCTTAATTTAGCAGTTATATGTATGTTCTGCCTTTTCCTTTGAGGCTCAGCTTGGGGTGGCTGGGATTTCGCCTTCTTTTATTATTAACCACAACAATCCTGTCAGTCAGGTCAGGCTGAGAGAAACATTCAATATAAGCTCTGTGGTTGAGTGAGAATTAAAATGGAGTCTTTTCTGACCCCCTCCAGCCTTTAGATGTTCTCAAACGTTCAGTACTAGGTAAATAAATCTGGGTGGTCCTTAAAGTCCCAGGAATACAAGGGTTGGTTTGAGTGAAAGGGCTGTGAAAACTGGCTCCAGGCTGTGGTATCCGAGTGTTTATTTGGTGCTGGTTGGGGAAATTCTGGGAGTTGAAGTCCATACGTTTTATGCTTGCCAAGTTTTGAAAACATGTTGTAAATAGTCCTGGGCTGATATAAAGCTGGGCACCCAAAGTCTGTTTCGTTTCTCAAAGTTTGTAACTTCCAAAACCAGCCTAAGGCTGTCTCTCTCTCTCTCTCTCTTGGCGGCAACAATCCCGTCCGCTTCTACGTCTTAGAGGCTCTCCCGTTTGCAAGCAGATTTGCCCCCACCCACTGCCAATATATCCCATGAGGCTTGACCTTTCCTTGCAATGGAGCATTTATTCCTTCCTCCATCCGCTTCCTATGATTTGCACTTTCCAACATGAGGCAGTCTTGAATGAAGAGTGGAAGTTCCTTCTCTGCCCTGGGTGAGGTAGCCAGATCTCAGAGCAGCAGGAGGATGTTGCTTCTTCCTTTCCAATGTATTTCTGCCCAATTTTCCAAGCTTTTCTTTTTACCATGTACTTCTTCTGTGGGTGTAATATGTGTTCTCCAGATGTTCTTTCATGCCTAGAAGTGTGGCAGTGCTGCCCTCTAATGGCTGGTATGTGGAATAGCACATGACTCAAAAATTTCCCCTTTCCTTTCCTTTCCTTTCCTTTCCTTTCCTTTCCTTCCCCTTCCCCTTCCCCTTCCCCTTCCTTTCCTCTTTCCTCTCCTTTTTATCCCCAGATGAAATAATGTCCCAATTCCCATCCAGCAAAAGTCCTGCTACAGACAAGGACAAAGAGAGATTGGAAGATTCGACAGATGGTACTTCTTTATCCCGGTAAGTGGCAGATACATGGGAGAAACTGAGATAGAATTTGCCACTAGGTCTGACAAACATAGTTTTTGATGCACCAAATTTAAATGCTAACCAAAATTGGTAATTAGCATTCCCGTTTTATAGCCCGGAGCAGTGTTTCTCCATTGTGATGGCCAGTTTAAGATGGGTGGACTTCAACTCCCAGAATTCCCCAACCAGCCATGCTGCCTGAGGAATTCTGGGAGTCCACCCATCTTAATGGTCAAGGTTGAGAAACACTGGCCTAGAGAATGGAGAGATCAAAATATCCACTGCTGAAGTAGAATACATTACCATGAGCCGTAGTGGCGCAGTGGTTAGAATGCAGTACTGCAGGCTACTTCTGCTGACTGCCGGCTGCCTGCAATTTGGCAGTTCGAATCTCACCAGGCTCAAAGTTGACTCAGCCTTCCATCCTAAAATGAGGACCCAAATTATTGGGGGCTGTAAACCACTTAGGCTGTAAAGCTCTGTGAAGCGGTATATAAATCTAAGTGCTATTGCTATAGCTAACTCTTCCTACTGCCAGGAGTTTGATCCTGAGCGGCTCAAGGTTGACTCAGCCTTCCATCCTTCCGAGGTGGGTAAAATGAGGACCTGGATTGTTGGGGGCAAGAGGCCGACTCTGTAAACCGCTTAGAGAGGGCTGTAAAAGCACTGGGAAGCGGTATGTAAGTCTAAGTGTTCCCTCTTTTGAGAGTTATAAAAAGGATAATTTTTCAAGGACAGATTTTTCTATCATAGGAAATCGGATGCAAAGATGTTTCTCCATTAGAGAGACTTATATAATGGTTTTTGTTGTTCTTTTTCAATTTTAACACACATTAATCTTGACTTTAACAGTATAGTGTCATCATTATTATACAAATTATTCTACACATCAATCTCGTACAAATATCTACATTGATACATCTTTATGTACAATCATTTACTTTAATCTATAATTTTCTTATTACCTTTATCTTTATTTCTATTATTCAGCCAATTATACCAATTATCCCAAATTTCATAATATTCCAACTCTTCTTTCTCTTTAAGTTTGAATATCAATTTGTCCATTTTGGCACAGTCTAATATTTTTTGAATTATTAATTCCTCAGTTGGCAGATTATTTTATTTTCAACATTGTGCGTATATTATTCTTGAAGCTGTCAGAATGTGTAATAAAATATATTTAATCTTCTTTCTATAATTTCCTTTGACTATTCCCAATAGAAACAATTCCAGTTTAAATTCTATTCGTTCTTCCACTATCTCTTGTAGCCAACTCCATATTTTAGTCCAATATTTCTGGGCTTCTGGGCATGACCAGTGGAGAGATTTTTAAGATACAGTCATTTAGGATTTGCAGTTAGTTATCAGAGTGAGGATATAGACATGTAACCCCATCTCTAACTCCTTAACTGAAGCAGCCATACAGGTAGTCCTTGTTTTCTGACCATAACTGGGGCCCTTGTTAAGCAAGATGGTTGTTAAATGAATCTCAACCGACTTTATGACCTTTTTTGCCACTGCTGTTAAGAAAATCACTACAGTTTTTAAGTGAATTGTGTGGTTGTTAAGAAAATACAGCTTCCCCCAATGACTTTCCTTGTCAGAAGCCACAAATGCTGATCACATGACCGCAGGACCACTGCAACGATCGTAAATAAATTCCTGTTACCAAGTGCCTGAATTTTGATCCCATGACCGTACGGATGCTGAGGTGGTTGTAAGTCATATGGCCCATTTTACACTGCTGGTGTAACTTTAACAGTCCCTAAAACGAATGGTTGTAAGTCAAGGATTACCTGTATCATCCTGCAAGTGGGAGAACCATAGAGAACACCCCCCCTTCCCGCCTTTTCATGGCTGTTCTTATCACAGGTCAACAACGTCTCCATCTGCCAAGCCAACGGCCACCTCAGCGACTCTGGAGCTGGACAAGCTCATGGCTTCCCTGTCAGATTTCCGCGTCCAGAGCAATGTAAGCATGCTGATGAGGTAGACCTAGGGATTAAGGTGAAGGGGCCCCAGAGGTATTCAGGGCTGTTTGGGGTTTGACGATAGTATTATGCATGTAAGTGTAGATATTTGAGTATCAATAGGATATTTGTAGTTCAAGGTTGAACTGTGGGGTCCTGGGTTCTCTCTGAGCCTGGTGGTTTCTTGTAGGCATTTCATTACCAAACTAAGTGACATCATCAGTGCCATTAGGCAGTGGCAGAGAGAGGAGAGAGAGCAAATCCCAACACCCTACTAGCATTGATGATGTTGTCTGGCATGGTAATGAAATGTCTACAAGAAAAGCTCAGAGAGCACCAAGGACCACGCAGATATTTGAGTGCAAAAGGTACAATGCGATTTCTTTTTTTAAAAAAAAAATCCTTAGTTGCAAAGAAAGGCAGAAGATTGTGATAAACTATAGAAGCTTTGTGTGTACAATTGGTGTGTGTGCATATTTCCTACAGATAGAAATTTTGAGAAAGGTTCAAGAGCCTGCATTATTTCCTCTACGTAACACGTAATTTCTATAGACCAGGTAGAAGGATTAGGTTTGCCTAAATTAAAATAAATGGCATGAATAATTGGGCTGCACAAAAAGCAACCCATTGCCTATATCCACACACACACGCATACACACAAACACACACCAGTTCTACTTCCAGCTGCCTCCTTAGAACGTAATGGCTCTCGATGCCCTCAAAATCTTTTTGCCTGAACTGAAACTATGCAAAAGTTTTTAAAAACAAAACAAAAAAAATGCTTGAAGATTCTCTGACCAATTTTTGAGCCATGAGTTTACTCAGAGAAATTAGATGTTTGGGATTTCCCCCCCGTCCAGCTATATAGGCATCATCCTAACTTTATTTGATCAAAACATACAGGTAGTTCTCGACTTACGACCACAATGGAGCCCAAAATTTCTGTGAGAAATTTGTTAAGTGAATTCTGCTGCATTTTATGACCTTTCTTGTCAGAGTTGTTAAGTGAATCCCTACAGTTGTTAAATTAGTAACACGGTTGTTAAGCGGATCTGGCTTCCCCGTTGACTTTTGTTGTCAGAAGGGCGCAAAAGGTGATCACATGACCCCAGGACATTGTGACCATCATAAATATGAGTCAAGCATCCGAATATAAATCACATGACTGTGAAGATGCGGCAATGGATGTAAGTGTGAAAATGGTCATCAGTCACTTTTTTTCAGTGCCGTTGCAACTTTGAAAGGTCACTAAATGAACTGTTGTTGTAATTCGAAGACCGCCTGTGTTGTAAATTCACATCCTTTTCTCCCAGCACAGAAGAAAGCATTTCTCTTAAGGTTTCTGCAGATCGATTCTGGAGCCTTGCCCCAAATAAGAGAAATAGCAATGGATAACCCTCTTCACACGTGACTCTTAACTACCTTATGTTCCCTAAACCTTTAGCTTCCAGGAGTCTCTGTCCCAACCACGACCGTCACCACAACCACCACGGTTCCTCCAGCACCTGCTCCTGCCCAAGTGCCCTCAGCTCAGCAGCCTGTGGTGTCATCTGTCTGCCCGGGGCCCACGGCTCTGTCCCCCCAGATGTCCCCAGGCCAGCCCAGCGGGAACCTGGATAGCATGCTCGTGATGCTGGAGTCGGATCTCAGCCGCCAAGGCATTTCCACCACAGCCAAGGGGCTGTGTGCTTCCTGTCAAAAACCCATTGCCGGGCAGGTCAGTCTCGTCTTGTATATCTGGGTTGATCTGATAGGTACAAACAGGGAAATCAGGAAGAGCCAACGTCGCATCTGGAATTAGGAAGGCATTTGCCTGCCAAACTTTTCCCCTTCTTGTGAATTGCTAACTGCGGTGGAATCCTTCTCCACCTTTGCTCCCCTTCTGAATTATCATAGAAGGCTGTAGGAGAAATTGCTGAACCTCTCTAGTCCTGTTGACTTAGGTTTATGCCTAGGCTTAGGTTGAGGAGGCTAAAACATATGAAGAACGGTTGCTAGAATTGGGTATGTCTAATCTAATGAAAAGAAGGACTAGGGGAGACATGATAGAGCAGTCTTCCAATAGCTCAGGGGCTGCCCACAAAGAAGAAGGAGTCAAGCTATTCTCCAAAGTCCCTGAGGGCAGGACAAGAAGCAACCTGGATGGAAACTAATCAAGGAGAGAAGCAACCGAGCACTAAGGAGGAATTTCCTGACAGTTAGAACAGTTAGTCAGTGGAACAACTTGCCTCCAGAAGTTGCAGGTGCTCCAATACTAGAGATTTTTAAGAAGAGATTGGATAACCTATTTGTCTGAAATGGTATTTCCTGCCTGAGCAAAGGGTTGGACTAGAAGACCTCCAAGGTACCTTCCAAGTCTATTATTCTATTATTTATAACTGTTCTGCTTATTATTCTCTGGATGGTATAAAGCAGATAGTGTAACTCCACAAAATATCCATAACAAAGTATTTTTATTGGTTCATCGGGTATCCTCATAACTCACATTTGTGATGAAGTTCTTCTTAATGTCCAATCCTTTGTATATCTGTCTTGTAGTGTAGAAAGATAAAAAGGTCTCAGCCCCATGATGATTGAAGCATGGTATGGTGTGGTGGTTTCAGGCAAGAGTGAGGGAGCCTTCCCCAACCCATCAAGGGTCAATATAGTGACCAATCAGGATTACAGATGTGGTCACGTGACATGGACTACATTTCCCAGGATACCTTTAACTACATTTACCATGATGCATTCCCTTAAGGGGGCAGCTCACAATCCCTAAATAACTATCCCAAATCCCATTAACTCTAAACTGTCTGGACAGCACAATAGCTGCTGCGTGCTCTGATCTGAACCTTTTAAAGACATTTCAGAACTGGAGTGGCCAATGAGATGAGTGGCCTTTAGCAGAGCTCGGCCAACCCATGACTTGAACTCATTAACAGCTGGACTTGCACAAAAAGCCGAATTAGTTCAGTTTAAAGGCTCAATGTAGTCTTTTTCTTCCCACTTCCCTCTTGACCTCGTGCAAACCAGCCCATTTGGCTACTTTACAGTTCAGTTCCTTGTATGAATCCAGGAAATGGGTTGATCCAGGAACTGACTCCACTGGCCATTGAATGCCACAGTGTACAGCAGAAGGGCCTTTTCTGCTGTGGCTCCCGGTCTCTTGAACATGGTGACTCTCAAGATGAGACTGTCCCCACCCTCTTTGCCCTCTGAAAGAGTCTCAAAACCTGACTCTGCTGATTGGCCTGGGGCCACAAAGCGGGCATTCCCCACTGTAAGTGGTTGGTGGACTAGGAAGAAGATCTACCCTTTAATATTCTGGGTTTTAACTCTTTTAATCTTCATTCATTTTAATATTTAATTTTGCACTTTTGTTTTTATGATGTAAGCCTCCCAGAGTCGCTTGATAGTGAGACGGGTGGCAAATAAATTTAATTAATAAAATAACAAATAAATTGCAATCCATGGAAGAACAGAGGAACAAGAGACTTTTGGGAGCAGAGATCTTTCATAATAAAGGTAAAGGTTTCCCTCGCACATACGTGCTAGTCGTTTCCGGCTCTAGGGGATGGTGCTTATCTCTGTTATACAAAGCCAAAGAGCCAGCGCTGTCCAAAAACGTCTCCGTGGTCTTGTGGCCGGCATGACAAAACCTCAAAGGAACACTGTTACCTTCCCACCAAAGTGGTCCCTATTTTTCTACCTGCATTTTTACATGCTTTCGAACTGCTAGGCTGGCAGAAGCTGGAACATGTAACAGGAGCTCACTCTGTTATGCGGTGATAGGGATTCGAACCACTGAACTGCCGACCTTTCTGATTAACAAGCTCAGCGTCTTAGGCACATCCCATGAGATCCTTCATAGAGATCTTTCATTAATCTGGTGGTTAAGGTGCTGGCCTAGAAATCAGGGGACAGTGACTTCTAGTCCTGCTTTAGCTGTGAAAACCAGCTGGGTGACTTTGGGCCAGTTCCCAGGAGACAGTGATTTCTAGTTCACGTTGGGCCTGAAAGCCAGATGAGTAACTCTGGGCCAGTCCCTAGGAGGCCGTGATTTCTAATCCCAGTTTAGGCATGAAAATCGGCTGACTGACTTTGGGCCAGTCACTCTCCCTCAGCCCAGCCCACCTCACGGGGTTGTTGAAAATTGGAGGAGAAAGGTACATGTTGGGTATGTTCATCTTCTTGAACGATTTGTAAAAATAATAAAAGGTGGGAAATACGATAAACAAACAAATAAATACAGATAGTCCTTCACTTATGACCACAATTGAGCCCAACATTTCTGTTACTAGGCGAGATATTTGTTCAGTGAGTTCTGCCCCATTTTACAATCTTCCTTGCCGCTGTTGTTAAGGAAATGACTGCTGATGTTAAATTGATAAGACGGTTGTTAAGTGAATCTGGCTTCCCCATTGACTCTGCTTGTCAGAAAGTCACAAAAGGGGATCACGTGACCCTGGGCCACTGCAACCATCGATGAGTCATTTGCTGCAATGGTCGTAAGCAGGGGTGGGATTCTACCGGTTTGGACTGGTTCAGGCAAACCGGATGTTAAATTTATATCTGGTTTGCTGAACTGATAGTTGAACCGACCGGCTGGCCCTGCCCACCCCACCCCGCCGCTCCGGAGGGCCTCCAAGCCCCCGGGGAGACCATTTTTGCCCTCCCAGAGGCCCGAGGGAAGCCTCCGGACCCTAAGGAAGGTGAAAAACGGCCCTCCCGGAAGTTCTGGTAGGCCACGCCCACCCAGCAACTGGGCAAGGAACTGGTTACTGGGATTTTTGAATCCCACCACTAGTTGTAAGAGTGAAAAATGGTCCTAAGTCACTCTTTTCAGTACCGTTGTAACTTTGAACGGTCACTAAACAAACTATTGTGAGTTGAGGACTAACTGTCATGTCACCGTCAGATAGACAACATGCCAGTTGTTAACGTGGCCTTTCTATTTTTCCCCGTCTTCTATTTTCTTCCAGGTGGTAACCGCCTTGGGGAGCACCTGGCACCCGGAGCACTTTGTCTGCACTTACTGCCAGAAGGAGATGGGGGGCAGCAACTTTTTTGAGAAGGATGGCGCCCCCTACTGCGAGAGAGATTACTTTCAGCTCTTCTCTCCCCGCTGTGGGTTCTGCAACGAACCCATTCTGGATGTGAGAGTTTTTTCCCCCTCCTCCTGCTTGAAAACGTTTGGTGTGGTCTTGAGCAAGTGCTGTGTGTGATCTGTGTGTGGTTTTTTGAGAGTCCAATCTTGAATGTGGGTTTTGGGGTCTGTTCACTCATCTCTTTTTCTCCTCAACGCCCTGACCACCAGATAAGCAGTAGAAGGGACAGTTCTTTTTATTTCAGACCACAAAGCTACTACAGGGGCCTTTCCTGTTTTTCATGCTCTGATAGGGTTAGAAACCACTGGGTGTCATGTTATTTGCATGGGTGAAATTCAAAAATTTTCCCTACCGGCTCTGTGGACATAGCTTGGTATACTTGGTATAATAGTAATAGCAACCAGGGGTGATTTTTTTTACTGATTCAAATTATTCCTACCACCTCTCCCAAGGTGGGCTGAGGTGGTTGAATTTCACCCCTGGTGAACACCTGCAACGTTCAGTTCCTGAATGGTAGCAGGAAGTGGGTGGTACGATAGTCCTTGACATATGGCCATAATTGAGCCCATAGTTGCTGTTATAAATCATGGCAATCGTTCAGTGGGTCAGCACCTGACTGTGGAATGGAACAATTTGTCTCAGCCAACTCACCACAAGTCAATTCAACAATTCAAATATTCAATTTTAATTTTTGTCATTCACATTTCACTTCATCCCTCTTCTGGCATCCTTTCTTTAATTATTCTATTCCACCATTTCTTGACATTAGAAAAGAATAGAATAGAATAGATTTAGTTTACTTTACTTTAGTTTACTTTATTGTCATTTCATTGTACAATGAAATCAAACACCATCTTCAGTGCACATCATGACCATGAAAATAAAGACAAACACACATCCTTCCCCCTTCACACACTGAACTGAAAACCCCCGACATCACACCAACACTGCACTATACAGTAGAAAGAGCTACTGCCCTGGGATAGAAGCTGTTTTTCAGCCTATTTGTCCTTGTTTTTATTATTCTGTACCGTCTGCCAGATGGTAATAGTTTTAAAAAAGGGTTCCCGGGATGAGATGGATCTTTGAGAATGTTTTGAACTTTCTTAAGGCAGCGGGAGCTATAAAGCTCTTCCAAAGAGGGGAGAGGGCAACCAATGATCTTCTGGGCAATGACATTAACCCTCTGGAGTGCTTTCCTATCTGCCACTGTGCAATTGGCAAACCATATAGAGGTGCAGTATGTTAAAATGCTCTCTATGGTGCAGTGGTAGGTTATCAGCATAGAGTAGAGTAGAGTAGAGTAGAGTAGAGTAGAGTAGAGTAGAGTAGAGTAGAGTAGAATAAGAAATGAATAGAATAGAATAGAATAGAATAGAATAGAATAGAATAGAATAGA